AAAGAAATACAAAAAACTAGCCGGGCGAGAATAATTAATTATAACAGCATTTGAGCAAGGACATATTGTCTAGTAGAATGTAAGCGGAAGTCTAAATAATATGTGGTGAGCACGTATAAGGAATTGCCATTGTTTCCAGGGTGAAGTTGGAGTAGCCAATGAAGATTCCCCTCACCCCTCGGCCTCACTGAATGTTTAGAAGTCGCTGTGCTGTTGCTCTTGAAAAACTTGCTTTAAATCCACACTTCAGAGCTCCCAGAGACTTGCCTTCTGGGCCACTGGTGAAGCTGTTTATGAAGAAATGTCATGCCAGACGGGCTCCACAGCAAATATGGAAAAGGGCAGTATCAGGAGAAGCTCATGGCTGCTGAGTTCTCGTGGGCCCCAGTGAACTTCAGGAATTGGGTGCTACAGCAGCAGCCTGAACTACACAATCTGGGCATTGGTGTATCCCTGTATGCCCTCCGGGCCAGACACTGGAGGTGTCATTTCCAAAGCAGATTGGAAGCGCTTTTTTGGAATTTCTCTCCAAAGCTTTCTACTCACAAAGATTGACATCATAACACGTGGCAAAGGAAAAACATTTAAAGGATCCAGATCTATTTATGTAAACAATTAAGAGTGAGTTTGTAGTGGATAACCCAAAGTTGGATAAATGGTGCATCATAAAATATATTTATTCATTTTCTGCTGTTGTATATTTGGAATGATTTTTGTATTTTGATTTTTGTGAACATGTCTCCTAATGCAAATACTCAATAGATTTTCTTTCCTGACAGTATCTTCTGATAGGTGGAATGTCTGGGTTATATAATTTGTGGATCATCAATTCTACTGGGCAATGCCACAGCGATTCAAACTACTTTCACTTATTTATATTTCCACTGACAAGGTAATCATGTTATACAATATAATAGTGGTATGGATGATTGTGGCAAGTTAAAGAAATACAAAGAACTCACCCTTACTAGAGTCCAAGGCATTTGTGGGAGGAACACTTCATACATTGAGGACCAAATACATCAAGTACGTTTTGGAAGACATTGAGAGGAGTGTAACTACTTTCTTATAGTTTATCAAAATCCCATAATGAGATTAAGCAGGTAGGAATATAGGCACATTTGCATTTCAGCAAGCATTCTGGCCTAGATGTAATCGAAGGACATCAAGCCAGCAAGAAGACAGAACTAATATTCTTTTGTGTGTATGAGACAGGATCTCACTCTGTCCCCCAGGCGAGAGTCAGTGACACAATCCCGGCTCAATGCAAACTCTGCCTCCTGGGCTCAGGCAATTGTCCAGCCTGAGTTTCCCAAGTAGCTGAGATTACAGGCGTGCACCATCATGTCTGTCTAATTTTTATATTTTTTGTGGAGGTGGAGATTCACCATGTTGCGTAGGCTGACCTCGAATTTCTCAGCTTGACTGGTGAAACCACCTAGGCCTCCAAAAGTGCTGGGATTACAGGCATGAGCCACCATGCCACGTCCCGAAATCTTTTCTCATGACAACTACTGTCACATAGACTTTACTATCAGAAAAGATAAGACTACCCTCATCCTTTGGGTTTTAGCTTAGGTGTTGTTTCTTTTAGGAAGACTTTTAGGATGACTGTCCCTTCCTTTCTATCAACTATTAAACCATGAGCTCCTTAAGGACTTAGTCTATTTTTTAAATTTATACTTTAAAAAAAAAATTTACTTTAATTTTCGGGATACATATGCAGAATGTGCAGGTTTGTTACTATTTTGGCTCCAATCTCTAGCAGTAAGGAGAGTTCATAGTAGACACTCATTTTGTGAGTGATCAGAATAGCGTGCATATGAGACCCTCTGAGACATTCTGTGCTTTGAAAAGAAGAGCTGCACTGCACACTAGGATTTCCACAATGCCTTTGTTATGGGGTTTGGCTGAGCATGCTCACAGGCTTTTTGTCATGTCATTGATAGAGAGTTGGGACAGTGATGGTGAGATGTAATGGACAGTGTGCATATCTATGTATTCAAAAAAAAGGACCAAACCCTGCACAATACTAAATCACACTGTCATTACATCACGGCATTACTGTCCAACTCTCTATCAAGAACATGACAAAAAGCCTGTGAGCATGCCTAGCAAACCCCATACATAACAAAGGCATTGTGGAAATCTCGCCTAGTGTGCAGTGCAGCTCTTCTTTCAAAGGACAGATGTCTCAACGAAGGGTCTCATTTACTCCACAGAAATGAGTGTCGTACCATGGACGCGCCTTGACTGGTAGGAGATGGAGCCCAAAATAGAACAAATCTGCATGTGCTGACATTATCCTGAACATTAAAGTAAAAATTTATAAAAACAGTGTAAAAAAAAAAAAAAA